CCCTAGCTGATAACACAAAAACTAAAAAATCACTTCTTAGGACGCGTCTACGGAAAAGACACGCGTAGCGTGGCGAGTCGTGCGTTCGAAGTACATTGCACTTTATGTTTGTGTGTGCGCAGGCGATGACGTGAGCCGCTGCTGTAATGTATGACGGACGCACGTTACGCCACACAACGATTTCATCCGCGTGCAAGAGGCCCTAGTCCCGCGGAGAAAATACAGAGCACAACTTTCTAAGATCCTTATATAGTTCCCAAACCTCTATTCTAATCAAATGAAACAACTACATATAAAAGTCATGAACACTATATTAAGAGCGCTTACTTTTAATTTTACGATTACTTAAATCTTTTAAAAATATATTATAACAAATGGATCACCTGATAGTAACCAATCTGCGATCCCCATGCACTACACTAGAAGAGTTATAAAGCGTTGCCAACCTTGTGGGGGTTAGGGATTTGATGATTTAGAATTAAAGGATTGGGGATAAGGGAGGATCAGGATTGGGCCTCCGATCTTATTCACACAGCGAATTACAACGTAAACGTTCTTTCACGCTGGTTTTCCCTGAGACCGTGATATCATTTCGGTTGAGCCAGCCCAATTATGCCCACACTTAACATCATAACAAACCACAGTCTAACTTAACTAAGTCCTTACCAATCAAATAATTCAAAGATAAAGATAAATTTATTTGCAAATATGGTTACAATACAGGTGATACAGATACATTTTAATGGTTAAGCCATACTTTGCCAGGAAGGCATGCAAATTTTAAAAGGGAGAACAAAGAATTTAAGTTTTTAATCGAAAAAAAAATAAACAAATTAAATTTAAAAAATAATAATAATAAAAGGCTTATTGGTAGTTACACAAGGCTTTCAAAATTATTATTATCAATCCCGATTACAATACTCTATATAACAAAATGTTTTTCATTTGAAAATTCACTTATACTAAAAACCTAACCTTTTGATAATACGAACAACGGAAAAGTAAGTAACAAGTTTAACTAAGGTAGATCTAGTAGTAAGAAACATCAGTTGATTCATTACAGTGCAATTAAGCCGCCGATAAGCGTAGTAATTACGTATGCTAATCGCGAATTTAATTCGATGCACTTGTACTAAGATACTGCGGACGCGGTCGTGTGTGCCTAGGCTTTAAGAATCGAGTGGGATAAGTTTCGGTTTGAGAATTACATTAAACGAAAATTATACAGAATTAAATTATGCTATGTTAAGTATTTGTAGTTTAAAATGGACTTATTTCGGTAGTTTTAGTTAGATTTCGTAGTAGAGGGTAAAGAAAATTCTGCAGATATTATAGTTTGATAAAAGTCTTCTGATTTTTTTTTTATGTAAAAGGTTGGCAAACGAGCAGACGGATTACCTGATGGTAAGCAATCAGCTCCGCCCATGGACAGCCGCAACGGAGGAGTTACGAGTGCGTTGCCGACCTTTTAGGGATTAGGGATTTGGAGATTAAGGAGGGATTGGGGGAGGGGAAGGATCGGGCCTCCGGTAACCTCACTCACACGGCGAAACACAACGCTGTGGTTGTTTCACGCCGGTTTTCTGTGTTCTGATGTATTAAAATAATTTCAGAAAATATTTTTTTATAGTAAACAGATAATTAAAATTTATAAGAGATATGTATGCATAGTCTCTTTTTTTAAATAGAGCATATCATTAAATGTCTTGTCTCATCCAGGGTGTCAGACGTTTAATGCCTAAAAACCACACCGATCCTAACTTGCTCCGGGCCAGGCCTACGGTACTTGATTGCGCTTGACTCACAACCTAGACATAATTTCAATGTTATCAAATCCAAAATTTTAATAGAACATCATGGTCACCCTAATCTGGTAGCTCGCCGAGCGAGTCCTTGTTTGCATTACTGGATATTACCAATATATTATAATTAAATTAAAAGTTTATGTGTGTCTGTACGTGAAACTGGATTAATTTACTTGCAACTTAATCTTAATATCTCTAAAACATTGACAAAGAAATTTAATTTACCAAATAATCTCAAGCTGACTTACCTTAACTTAGTTATCTGGTAAGTCTTATGGGACATAAAGTTACAATTCTTAAAAAAAACTTTGGCATTTGACTTCTCTTACAAATTCGAACTTTTCAAAATATTTTTCAAAACTACATTACTACTACGTATACTACTACCTATTCATAAAACAACACATACTTACATACATACATATCGTAACGCCGATCTCCCTTTGGGGCAGGCAGAGAACATCAAATGACACGATGCTGACAAAGCTCCTACTAAGAAGCGAATTCTTCTATATTCATCATGTCTTCCTACAGTCTCGACATTATATGAGCTTTCAACTGAGTTAAAAATACCACTTATTTATTTATTTATTATATATTTTATGCCCACATTAAGTTAGGCAAAAACAAAAATACAACAATTAGGTACGAAAGCACAGCATTTTCTTCTGAAATCTCATCCAGCAGGCCCGTTATGGGAGAATTAGAATAAACAGAGACGTAGACTGATTGTCTTAACAGAATTAGGAAAAAAAGAATAACAATAATAATGAATAATTTTTCTGTTATACAACAAAAATATATAAATATAATATTTTTATATATAAATATATTAAGTAAGGAATGATTTACGTTTATCAAAAATACTTTCTCATATGAACTAATTTATGAAAGCCTTAGTAGTTTCAAGTTACAACAGGACTCTTTTTCACGGCGTGACGACGTCACACAGAGAGTTTTCTTTTCTCGGTTTACACACGTGATTAAAGTCAGTAATTTCCAATAAGTTTTATATATTTCACAATAGTTATTACACATAAAAACAACATGTATAATGTTGTTTCACCCAATAAAGAACCTTGCGGTACACCCTATTGCTAATAAGCAATTTCTAATAATATTAGTATTGAATCTACAAAATAACTCGATGAGGCTAACAAAACAGTTATATAACCTAATAATAAGTCTAGCCTAGGCTAGTCTAATTTAATATTTAAACGTAGTTTTATTATCTGCAGTACACACGTTAATTACGAAAACTAATTTATTATTCCAGTCATTATGTGTAATTTAATGTACTTAAACACAGCCTTTGTTTTTGTTTTAATTTAAATATTTAAATGTTTACGTGTTTTATTGTGATTAACTTAGAATTAAATTGTTAGATAGATAAGTGTAGCTATCCAGTTATACGAGTATTAGCGTTGATGACAATAATTTTAAGTTCGTAAATGTTACAGCCTTTTTTTTATTTTATTGTAGGACTAGCAGACCGCCCCTGCTTCGCACGGATATCAGACTGCCTCGGTGTCAGTTATTTGTTTTGCAAGCGAACGGCCACGGCACCGAAAAGGATGTTAATTCCTGCTATTCCCCTATACTTTTCCAAAGTTTTCTTTCGTTACAACCTTCTCCTTACAATAACGAACAAAACAAAAAAAGGAATTATCAAAATTTTTCCAGGCGTTCTTTAGTTATGCGCTTACTAAGACATTTCGCGATTCATTTTAATATTATAGATAAGGAAACAAGGTTCTTAGATAAAACAAATATTTAGTTTCGAAATGCGTGATCGCTTCCTCTCCGTACGGAATAAAATATTTTCTTACTACATCGTGGCGTCAGGACGACTTATAAAAGAAAATATTATACTAATCTAAAAGGCGGACATAAAAAATAGTCGTCATACTTATTCATCAAGTTTTTGTATAAACTCTTTTGAAAAAAAATCTTGGGACTATATTTTTTTTGGAAGAAGAAGACAAACCAGTACTCCCGTCACCAGATGAAGTGGGGAGTTTTTATTCAGTAAGAGTCTGATACTCCCTCTCAAATAACTTTGAGCAAGATCATTTGGTGATTTTCTGATCACAAAAATAATCCATAAATCAGTTTCGCACATGGTGACCTGCAACAGGCTAAAAATTAAACGCCAAACACAAAACTTAACTCATAAACAGCATAGACACGTAATACAAAAAAAGCAAACGCAACACACACGCACACATAACAAAAACACAAGAACATATTTTTAAAACCATTTCATAATAATTCAATATTGATATCAAACTGGACTAATTGACAGTTCAAAGTGTAAACTCAGTTATTCCCTTCGACACTGTCACCGCAAAATTGTCCGTAGGAAAAGCGGTTATAAAACTATTCGATATCCATTAAAAATTAGCTCGGAACGTATTAATGCACCTCAAAGCAACGATCAGTGGGGGCCAAAAATAAATTGAACATCAACGGGTAGGTTAAGCTCAGCAAGAACACAGTAACCAACAAAATATCCTACTAAGATTGTTAATTTGTGAGAATGTATGGTCGTATGTTTGTTATTCTATCACTCGAAAATGGTTGGACCGATTTGATTGAAATTTGATATGTAGATAAGTGGTATCCTAGATTAACACATAGGCTTTTTATCAACATACTACGCGGGCGAAGTCGTTGGTAGGATCGAGTTATATTTATACAGGAAAGTTTGTAAATGAGGATGTTAGTTACTCTTTTAGAATGTCACCTCGCTTTAAGCAACTTTACGTAGGTACAACGTTTTTTTTTTACTTGAACGGCTTAATAAACGTTTGGAAGAAAATAATGCTTTTGTATATACTGTGAAGTTTGCTGTAATATAAGTAGTACTAAAAGTATTTCATGACCAAAATTTATCTACGAGTGGTAGGTACACACTTTTCAAACTGGAGAATGTTTTTACTAACGTCATTTAAATCAGTGTATTTCCAAATACAAGTGTAGTAAGTAAAAAAAAAGTGTTGTGACATATTAACTTTTTTAAATTGTCACATTTTTTTTCATGACTTCTGTTACCTTACTGTTTTTACAAACAGCATTGGTATAACATCCCAATACAGACTATCAAAAGCGGCTATTAAATGCTACAACTAGATAAAAAAAAAAAACAAAAAAAAATCAGACATGCAAGCTATAGAAATAAGGCATTTACTGTACCCTGAACCACAGCACAGTGATGCGGAACGCGAGGCTTGTAAACTCGTCGCGGTGTCGTATAAATTCATTATCACTACCTCCTATATGACAAACAATGTCCCGGGTTGACATGGCCAACCTGAAGGGAAATATTTATTATAATAATTGCACTAACTAGCTGGAAAATCAAGAGTTATTGAGGGAAAAGAGGTTATTTACTTTTGTGTAAGATCATCAGCCTATGTAATAGAATACTTGACATACTAATCAAAATGTTCTTTTTTTCGATATGACAGATTTCACCCTCTTTGTGTACGTATTTTTTCAAATAACAAAACTCGTTAATGGCGTAGTAAAAAAAAATTGTAATAAATTCGAAATTTAAGAACATTATAAAAGCATTGGATAGTTGAAAGTTAAGAACTTTTTTTATGTCATGTTTTTTCTATGAATTTTATTTTTAAGCCAAGAAAATAGAAAATACGTAATATAATATTTAATTTCATAGTTCAATAACTTAAGTGTAAAACTTTGACATATTAAAAGCACGGTGCACATAAGCAGCATCTTTTGTTATGTGTTTAAAGCCGGGTAAAGAGTTGGTATTGGGACCTATTTCGTTGTTAATACTAAATGTTGGTATTGGGACCTATTTCGTACTCTTGGTTAGGCAACAACAACGCAAACAAATGGGGCGTATAAGCATGGTTTACAGTAAACCCACCAAGTACTCAGAAGCAACTGAGTTCAACAACGAAAAAAAATACCCTCTTTCATTCAGTGCATACAAATAGAATTTATATTAAAACAAATCATACAACAAAAACCAATGTACTTGATCACAATATAAAATAACAGTTAAACGTATAAACATTAAAAAAACAAACAAAAGCAGACATCCAATTTACCTCACATAATTATCAGTAACCAAAACTCATATAGGCATCCATTAAAAAATCCATTGCATTCATAAAAGCGGGAACGGTCATCGACCGCAAAAAACTATCGGGCACTGAATAGAAAAAAAAACGCGAAAAAAAATATGGAAAAAAATTGTGCACACTCAAAAAGAGCGCAGATTGTCGCGGTTGGGAACCCAGTACCGTCCGTTATTAATTCTTGGACAGCCGGCTTCGACGAACCGCAGTGGACAATCGAAAAATAAAATAACTATTATTCATTTGTGCACAGATCATGTTTACAGAGGTAGCTTCACTGTTTAAATATCGACGGTATTTGGATATTCGTATCACTGAATGAGGGTAGAAGTATTTTTCTTTTGTTTTGTTCGTTTATGAAGTCAGTTATCGTCGTTGATCAATTGGCAATTGACTATCGAAAAAATGTAAACCTTATTGAAATTATTGGGATTGTTGAACTGTTCCTAATATTGCAAACAACTTTTAAAAGACGAATTACAGCGCCCTCTTTTTTTCTAAGCTAAGTGCTATTCTGAAGCTTCCAGGCGCCAAGATGGCTTAGTTCCTCAATCTCCAGAGGCACGTCCCTAAAGGCAGTGGCTTTTCTTCGTTCAGCAGAAGAACTTTTCCGGGTTGCGAGGTGATTCTTTCTGAAAAGGCCACATACGTATACAAGTCCACCTCTGTGGATGACCACAGAGCGGATACGTAAACATTTACAATATGACACTAAGGTGGTTTATTTTTAACCAACATAGCTGTAAGGATTCTATTATTCGGAAAAAAAATTTTTGACAGTAAAAACGTAGCTAGATTTGTTATTGTAAAATATTAATCGACGTCTTAATACGAAACCTATAAGTAACCGTAAGTATATCTTCATTAATATTCTGGTCAACCATACAAAATATACAAGAAACAAAATCCCTATAAAAGTTTCAGTCAAAAAATCAAACACGCACTTTCCAACCACCTCCACCCGCTACACCGTCACCGAATCGTACTTTTTCGCTATTTTGTAAATAATTAAGCTTAAACCAAAAAATGTCAATTCCAGTTGGCGTCCAGCGTTGAGTGGGATCAGATTGATTACGCTCAGTATTTATATTAAACGATTAATATCTGCAGCATGATTACCTCTTTTGAGAGGAGTATCGGTGAAAATATTTCTTTGTGTAAGTATGACAAAAAGTATGAAAAGCCTCTGTTGTGAACTGCTATTTAGGAATTGCGATTAAGTAACATACGTCTTTATAGATTTTGCTAAGCCTATGGTAGTTGTAATTTACAAGAACGTATTCCAGAAGTTCTTGGAAAAAATACTGTTACTGTTGATCCATCTTTCAATGGATTCTTCAAACATTTTAGTATTAGTTCTACGAAAAACTTTATTAGACGTTGCTAAGCCTATTGTAGCTCCTCTTAAATAAATGACTCTGTTTTTTTAACATTAACATGGATCCATCTTTGAACATTTTTGTTTAGTATCTAGAATATTCTAGTGTCTATTTTGATATATATTTTTAACAATAATGTAAGATCAGCAAGGTATTTAAAATTAGCACGTACAATCCCATTCAACAAATAATCAAAAGTATGAACGAAATACAATGGAAAACCACAAAGGGGTGAATTAACGGAACGCTGTAATTCCACTTCATCCATCAAAAAATCATTTCATTCCGAATCTGAACGGAAAGCAATATGGCGGTTTGCCGCTAAAATTTTTAAAAAGAAACGGTTAGAACAAAAATCCTTTGACTTCCGCGGAGTTTGATTGGCTTGGAAGTGGAATTGTCCTCGATAAAGGACGCCAGGCTCGTTTCCTATGACGCGGGTAACGGATTACCTACATGTGTATATTGTTTCATGTAGGTGCAGTAGATGCTGTTGTTTCGAACGATTCGTGTGATATGGTTCGTGGCTATGGTGATCGGAAATAAAAACTTATTATGACTTATTTTGACAATCTATACAAACGCAAGGTATCAACCTTTTTGTATGTTATAATAGGACGGCAAACGAGCAGACGAATTACCTGATGGTAAGCATTCGGCGCTGCCCATGGACAACCGCAACACCAAAGGAGTTCCGAGTACGTTGCTGGATTTTTAGGGATAAGGATTTCGGATATTCAAGGATTGGGACGAGATGGGGGCTGTGAAAGTGATGGGGCCTCCGGTAACCTCACTCATACGGCCAAACACAAAGGTGTGGTTGTTTCACGCAGGTTTTCTGTGAGGCCTTGGTATCACTGCGGTCGAGCCGACCCATTCATGCCAAAGATTAGCTCTCCCACCATTAAAATGATGACGTGGTGGGCCAATTAACTGATCAGAAACAAATAGCATTTATTTCGCCAATCTTTACAAAGGCAAGGTCACAAATTGATCTTATTTCGCTTGTGTTTTATATGCCATAGCGCCGAGATTTGTGCAGCATACGATGACAACCTCAAAATGTGCCTGTTAGGGTCGCTAGACAAAGTGACAAAGCCTTTTTCGAGTTGAAATTATCCATTATACCCACTAAACATAGTATTCTACACCTAACATTTCACATTTGCAATGTTACACTGTTGCTAGAACAAAATTCTCGCACTAACGACTTCCAAAGCTTTCCCCACACGCTACATTGCGAAACCTATACAATTACAAGTAATTCTGTATAAAACGGGACCTGTATAAGTGCACTGATTATAATGAATAATTCAAATCGCGAATATCTGCAGCCGGCCAGTATTACGAACGCGTGGGCCGGTGTATTCAAATCCAAGCTTATTAAACTTATCTTTACTTTTGAATCCATTAAGCTAACTATCAGCTAATTAATTCGTAACAGAAATATGCGGGAATTTGCTGGTTTTTGGTTACGTTGCTTTGTTATGTAGGCGTTTTATTTTTGATTTCTTTTTTGTATAAAAGAACATATAATGCATCTAAACTAATATTATAAATGTGAAAGTAACTCTGTCAGTCTGTCTGTCTTTTCTTCACGCCTAAACTACTGAACCGATTTCTGTAAAATTTGGTACAGACATAGTTTGGAACTCGAGAAAGCATACGATAGTTTTATAACAAAAATCTGCAGGAAGTCACTATTCCACACGAACGGAATCGCGGGCAAAAGCTAGTATACATTTATAAACCTTTTTAGCTGATAACTACTTAACGGATCTCACTTGTAATAAACTTCTGTCCTGTCTAATTTCCACTGTTACGATGACTGAAGTGTTTCCATTAAGGGATGTTCCAGACTTCGTAGGTTGAGGACGCAACAACAACAGCCAACCACAAGATTCCAGATTCAATCCTTTAGCTAGCCAAACTATTATTGTAAACATCCTTCCAATCTTATCATCCTTTCTATCTTTAGAGTTAAATTTTGGTTAATCAACCAAGGTAAATCACCATTTGATCCACTGCCGTACTTAGTGAAATGGTAAAGTATTTCTTTCCAGCGATTTTGATTTCCGAAAACAATTGTTAAGGACTGAGCTCAGTTGTCATCATATGAATTAGTGTAGCGGTAAGATCTTTTTAAGACGTGACAACTTATTAAATTGTATTGACTAAATACTAAATCTTACCTACAACTTCTTTTCACAAACAAAAAAGTATGTAAGTTAGGTATAAGAACATAGAGGATACTCAAATAAAATTTTTTTTTTCTATTTTTATGTGCTTAGTGCGATTCAGAGCTTAGTGCTTAGTGCGATTCATCTTCTAAACAAGTTTTTTTTATGTAAACGATCGACAAACGAGCAGACTGATTACCTGATGGTAAGCAATCAGCGCCGCCCATGGACACTCGCAACGGAGTAGTTACGAGTGCGTTGCCGACCTTTTAGGGATTAGGGATTTGGAGATTTAGGGATTGGGGAGAGGAAGGATTGGGCCTCCGGTAACCTCACTAACACGGCGAAATACAACGCTGTGGTTATTTCACGCCGGTTTTCTGTGAGGCCGTGGTATCACTCCGGTCGAGCCGACCCATTCGTGCCGAAGCATGGCTCTCCCACACTTAAAGTTTCAATAGAATAGTCCTTATGGTTTTAAAGAAAAGTGGCAACGACATATGGACGGTCAGATATTTAGTAACCATGAGGAATCTATGAATTTCGAGTTTTTAGGGGTTTCGGAGATATAGCATTGGCCTTCCGTTAACCTCACTGATACAGCGAAACACAACGCTACATGGTTATTTCACGCCGGTTTTCTATGAGGCCGTGCTATCACTCCGGTCGTGCCGAAGCTTGGTTCTCCACATTTATAATATTACACATTCAAATAATCATCATGACTTCATTAAGGAATATAATAGAGTATTCTTTGTCGTAAAATCGTGATAGGTTACCCTCCCTGTAATACGGGATTATGATAATAAATTACAAAACAGAAGCGAGTAATATTTTATAGGGCATACTAGTTTTTGCACATGACTTCGTCTCTTAGAATTAGTACCTATTCGAATATTATTAAATAAAATGGTCATCATTTTATTTCTCTGATTTTTAATTATTCTAAGAACCTCTTTCTTGAATATGACCATTTTATTTCTCTGTTTTTTAAACAATCTTAGAACCCGTTTGTCGAGCAGACGGATCACCTTGATGGTAAGCAATTCGACTACGCCCATGAACGATCGCAACACCAAAAAATTTAGGAGTACCTTGCTGGCCTTCTGGCAGCTTTTAGGAATTTGGGGTTTGAGGATGAGGATGGGGGAGGAGGGATTTGTTCTTATTGTGACACATTTATGAGTCTATGGTGAAACAGGTCTCTTATATTTCTCAATGCCGAGATGCTCATACATTATCAGTTACTAACAAGTCTATGTTATAAATGGTGAACCTTTATTTCCTTTTTGATACGAATGAGGATGATGAGTTGCAAGTTCCCTTAAACGAAGGAAATTCACTCTTAAGCAATCGTGAGATCAGAGGTTTCGGCGCAAGCGCAATAAAGTACCGCGGCCCCAGCCTGGAGCAGGGTACAGGAACAAGGTTTTGAGTCAGAAAGGTCTGATGTTTTCTCTCATCTGAAAAGCCTTAAATACCTACATACTTCTAGACCCCTATTCACCCCTTTAAAAGACCACACAGTCTATCACAGTCTTAAAACGTCTACTCCTATACATTGGCCTCTCTAATGACCTTCGGATCGCCTGATTGGAAGCGACCTGCATCCAGCAGCTGCCTGCAACCTTTACGAGTTCTTCTTTCCACATTTTCCATTCCAGAACAAATAAAATCTAAACTACCTTATAAGTAATACCCAATCCTATCTTATATTCAGACGAGATGCGTGAACAGACATACAGATAAGATAACTTTCGTATTACATTTAAGTGTGGATTGTTGTATATCATTGGCAATATTTTGTCCTGGGGCTAAACACGCGAACTGAACAGTTAGATTGTATAGAGGACAGTGCTGAGCGTCTGCTAATGTCACACGTTCGATGCCTAAGAGAGCAATATAATTTATAGACATGACTTGAGAATCTGTTCTTATTACGTATTAAAAGAAGTTCCCTTTCGCATCTGTCTGTCTTTTCTGTGCGATAGGACAGCAAACGAGCTGACGGATTATATGATGGTAAGCCATTGTCGCCGCCCATGTACACCCCCAAGACTAGAGACGGAACGATCCCCCAATCCCACACCAATCCTTTATCCCCTAAAGGTCGGCAACGCACTCGTAACTCCTCTGTTGCTGCGGATGTCCATGGGCGGCGCTGATTGCTTACCAGCAGGTAATTCGTCTGCTTGTTTACCGACTTATCTTTTTTTAAATAAAAAAAAACCAGCTGACGGATTATCTGATGGTAAGCAATCGGCACCGCCCATGAACTGGGGGACTCATTGACCCAGAGGAGTTACGATTGCGTAACCGGCCTTTTGGGGATTAGTGTTGCAAATATTTTAGGATTGGGCAGAATTGGGGGAAGGGTAAGGATTGGGCCTCCGATAACCTCACTTACACGGCGAAACACAACGCTGAGGTTGTTTTACGCGTATTTTCTGTGAGCTTGTGACTCCGGTCGAACTGACTCATTCATGCCGAGGCACACACTTATATGTCTATACTATATTAGGTGGACTTTTTGAGTGTGGGAGAGCCATGTTTTGGCCCAAATGGGCCGGCGAGTAGTTCAATAGGTACAGCAGAAGTATGTGCTTGTTAAAGCGCTAATATCCGGAACTGCTGGTTTGAAATGTTTTTTTTTGTGTTTGTGTTGAGTATTCTTTTTATTGAGGAATGTTATAGATCAAACTTCGTTTAATAGTAGCCAAGTTCTAAAGGTGCTAGTGTATTAGGAAACACTATTTATTGTGAGTAGTCAGCCGTTGTTGTTTGTTCGGTATGAGAGTAATAAAAATCTGTTGAAATTTCAGCTTTTTCAAGAATTAACCCAAAACCAGCTCCTAAGACAAAAGCAAGCCTTTTCATATTCTTAATCAATATTCATAAAATCAGATCAATAACCATTGCAGATATAATAACTCATTAAAATACTCCAAATTCCACAATTCAAGTTCTAAAAGCAATCATTTAAAATATACCTATCTAGTTGCAACAAAAAAGCAAAATCGTGACTTATTCATACATAGCAACAAACGAGCCTGGGGCTGTCAAGCAAATCTGTCACTTATTGCGAGAGAGACAACCGCTTTCGTGGCATTAACATTTTATTAACATTTCCCGTGCGTCATTAGGGTTGAAATTTGAATATCTGTAGATCGGAAATGCACAAATTAAGCGAGTGATCTGTTCTCGTAATGAGCTGAAAGGTACGTAATGACGAGGACGGTGGACGGAACAAAACAACACTCTTGCTTACCTCAGCGACTCAGTAACGAACGGATAACCCGATGTAAGGAGACCGCTTTCACTATTTTGCAAAACTTATGTACTTACTTTGTTAGAATACTAAAAGGATCTTTTATGCAATTGTAGGCGGAACAGGCCTTTTGAGTTAAATGCTACTAAACAATTTTTTTGGTAAAGTTATCACGATTATTTTGTCACTGTTTGCATATGACTTGTTTTTTGATAGGCACCTACAGTACTAGATCTCTGTGAGATTTCTATCCTCGAAGACCCTACATATCTGGTACAAAAATATGGAAAGATAAATACCTAGGCAGATAAGTTAAATGTCGAGACAACTCCTCTTAACAATTACCCTTTCAAACCCAAGCTAAAAACAACTAATCAATATCTTTCTCGCCAAGCCAGTATTAACTAAACCTAATAACACCATCGCCAAAAGTAATCCACAAATCAAGACCCTTACAAAAGCCACCTCCATACTCGGTAACCATCCAATACTCCTTATTAATAAGGAACGGTAGCTCTCAAGCGCACACAGACAGACAGACGGACACACGGACGCGGCGAGCGACATTTGTAATGATACTAAATAGTTGCGCGCGGTAGGTGCCCTGCAAGCGAGTAATGCGTTCTCTACTCGAAGGGGATGGGGATATGCAAGATAAAACCTATTTTTAAGGAAGGTTATTATTTGGTTTTACCTAAGTTGTGCTTCTTTGTGTGGTGAGCTGATTGAGGGACTGTACATTTGGCAGAAACAGGGAATTAACGCTCTCTGATAAACCTATCCCTTTTTAACTACGAGACGCTTGGTAAGCTTGGAATGAAGATTTGTTTTTTAGAAGACAAAAAAGTAGAGTTGTCTGGTCTGAGTATTAAAGGGTAGTAAGAGAATGGACCAGAGAAATGGAAATTATGTTTGGTTAAGACGTTTTATTACCGTAATTGGCAACACACCTTAATTCGTCGAGTTTTAATTCCGACCAGTAAACTCCAAATTTTTGGAAACATGTTTTGACAAAATAACAGTGCGAAATAAAGATAGTTTGAAACTCAACAATAAATTATAAAAGACACCAATTAAGAGGTCTCTTGGAAACCTTACACCCATAAGACAAGAAGATGGGAGTGCAAAAGATGGTGTGAAACAAAAAGTAACCAAGCCTTTTTCGTGAACTCCAAAGCTCATAACGCGGTCCAGTCAATAAGTCAGAAGCACCTATCTGCGTAATGTCTCGGCGGGCATTTACATATTTTAATGAGCACCGGAGGCCTATCTCCTACCTAGTTACTAGGTAGGCGGCCACAGGTACCCAAGTACTGCTCTCACTCGCTTTGTGTGATGGATGTGACCGATTTGCTTTTTGCTTGTTCAATGCAACCGTTTGAGATTATTGGGAATTAATTAGAATCGCTTTTTTGTTTCAATATCGAAGCGGCTTTTGATTGGTTGACGATGACGTTTGATGTGCGGGGAAATAAATTAGATGGGTTAGTATGATGGATTGGAAACCTCTTCATCATAAGGCATTTTACGGTCAGATTGGTTTTGCTAAGGTGCCAACATGGATATTGTTCATAGTCAAGTTTGAGTTTTTACCTTTCAATGGTGGTAATTTGTGACATATATAATAGTAAGACCACATGTGTGCGAACCGGCGTTCGCTTGGGGTTTGGTTAATTGAATTATGAGGTGTTTATCAGTCCAACGCACTAATCACCATTTTTATTACAGCATCATGGGTTCTACGTATTTCTTAGGTCAGATTTCGAAGTAAGTACTTTTCATCATTGCTTTCATGTGTAAATTCTAGCGTGTAAATAGTCGAATATAGGTAGTTATCGGGTATTCCTTAATGCTCAATTTAACGTAAGCGAGTATTGTAGTTGGGTATTTATTTGTTCACAGCCAGCGGTGTAAGCACCATTATTGTCATCTTGGCATTTACACAAATAAGCTATCTTGGATCACATTAGTGTATAGGAACAGTGCAATTATTCAACCAAACAAAACCAATGAAGTCATTGGCTTCGGTACTGAGGTGGCGTTTGGAACCGATATCAAATATATTCAGAAAGTAGCTGTTAACATTACTAAGTCTTAGTGTGCTTTGGGTGGGATGGTCTCGTGCATATTCATTGAACGTCTGGGGGACACTGCTGATAATTAGGAAGCCTAATTGATGGTAAAATCTATGGTACCTATGTTCTTTTATTTCGAGAAATGTAGAAAGGGGAACGCAAAGGGTGACCAACACAGTGTAGTAAGATCGACTAGGCCTTAAGAACTGTTAGACTTAAGACAACTTTTTTGCACCCTTGGCTTCTGAGAATAGCGAAAACTTAAACATAATGAAATGCATACATTTCAGACTTCTTCTGCAAAATACACAAAATAAAAAGCAAAATGGGCGCGGATTCATTACTGTGACACCAATTATCAAAAATGAATACAATACAATTTCATAATATGGAACCGATTCCGTTAGATATAAAACAGGTCGAAGCTTCCACAGATACACGCAGCATTTTAGAAAAAATAAAATTAAAAAGTTTTTGCTTTCGCAATCAGACTGGGCTCAGCAACATAACTCATTTATACCTGTACTCTTGTATACTTGATATATGTGTTTACCCTACATGAAATTCATTAACAAAGCCGCCTAATAACTTCCCCCCACGGGTGGGTGGTCAATGGGGGGGCAGGTTGACAAACAGCACCCTGTAATGTGCTACTGTTGAATTGCAAAAATCTCATTATACTCTAACTGTCGTTATAGGAGTAATTAACTACCGTGGACAGGAGATGCGGTGGAGTCGGTTTGTGTGATATTTTTTCTTTGAACGTATTGAACATTATGTGTGATCGCTTTATTTACTTTTCTCAATAATGCACGTTTTAATGTAACAATTTTTTACACAAGTAATGTTTTCTTTTGCTATTGAAAACTAAGTGCCAATTTAATCTCAATGTAATAACACCAATGTTAAAATTATATTATATACAAGAGTTTGTTTGTTTGAACGCACTAATATCCGTAACTGCTGGTTCAAATTCGCTAAGGATATATATTATTCGCTACAAATATCAAACCTACTTATAGGTATTTGAGCACGGCTTCTATTAGTTATGGGAATAACTAATAGAAGCCGTGCAGGAGGTAAAACCGAGAGAAGGTAGTCTATCAAATACCTATAAGATACCTAAGGGCTCAGCAACATATCTCATTAATACGATATTTATAAATGCTAAAAACAGAATCATCGACTATACCCTGAAACATATGTCTCAAAATTTAGAAAATTGTCTCACTGCCAATAAAATCACTGATTTGTTAAAATTGACACTACTTGTGATTAGCTTCGATACACTCTTCGGCACTAAGAATTGTTTACTGCATGGTTGATGTCGATCAAGGATCGAGATACCGGGGCTTCTACATAACGACATTTCCGGAGCGAAAGCAACTGCCTACACCCGCAGGATAGCCATTAAATTTTCACACGTGGAACCGTCTCCTAGCGGGACTCAAGTTCCACGAAAAGGACAGGTAATGCTTGTCACAATGAAAAATGACACACAGCAGGATTCACCACATAATTGATCTACTTAACTGTGCTTAAGGCTCCGTAAATAGGTGAGAAGTATCTATTTTTCACCCTTAATAAATTGGGTTGGGTTTTCCGCAGCTAAAAAAGTCCTTCAAGATTTCAATACAATGACATATTCAAAAATAATAGTTCAATGATGGATTTGACGAAAAATTTAATTATAGATTTTTATTGGTTACATTTTAAGAAAAAAGGAAGCTGTTTGACCCCCAAATATGATGACGTCACATTTCTGATTTCCATACCAAATCCATAGAACAGTTTCGTTTATGACATTTCAATAAAAGTATTGAATTTGGCAATTCTCCGTGTGAGAAGAGGCCTTTGCTCAGCAGTGGGCGCTTATGGGCTGATGATGATGATATTGTAAAGTTACAATGTTGGTTTTTTTTAAAAAAATTAAATGTAACATGTACCACCAGTATTACAATTTGTCTCTCTAAAAAGCAGTGACCACATGACAATGTTAATCCAACCGTTTAAGTATCAACTCAATACATTTCCCTGTGCTATGGTAATTGTGTTTCGTTATAACGAGTTTTTTGGCGAGCGCGGTTACTCGACCCGCGGTGAACCTGTGTTTTGCTTTGCTCATTTCACTCACCATAAGATCGGTGAATACGGGAATTTAACTGGGAATGCGAATGTGCCTGATGCGATAAAATGCTGTGGAAAAGGTCACGGATAGAGTGGACATTGAACAGTATTTCGCAATGAGGCTTACACCGAAATGGAAGTGTGAAATGTTTTCGCTAGGTAATTATTTTGTTGATTAAGATTAAGCATTTTTAAAGTTGAATTGAAAGTTATAATTAAAGAAGGATTTACGTAACTGTTCTTTAGCATTGCTCATGATGAAATTGCACATGAATATGAACCCGTAGCTTGGCTTGAAACTAGTCAGATTTTATTGCCAAAAAGTTACATTAGTAAGCCGTTAAACATAATAATTAAATTGCATTATTTTTACACCTGATCGTATTTTTGTTCGAGCACTAGATGCGCATAAAACATCTGAAAACTGTAACAATAAAAATAAATGAGACTAGCTTCCGCTGGCAGCTTCGCCCTCGTAATATGTTGATAAAAATTAGCCCATGTCTTATCCCGGAGTGTATACTAAGCCTGTGCCAAATTTCATCCGGATCCGTCCAGGCGTTTTGGCGTGATTGTGTAACACACATCCAAACATCGTAACTTTCGCATTTATAATATTATAGTATAAGATGTTGAGCCGTTTTTGTTAGACGTCAATAAATTATAACTAAGCAAGGACCCTTCGGTACAAAAAAAAACTATTTTTATTTGAAATGGTTTAATCAAACGTAAGATCAATCATATCATCAACATCCATATTATCGAAGTCCGCTACTTCATTCCCCTTTTCTTCCTGTTTCGAACTTTCTGGAACATTTTGTTTCGACGTCGAAGGTTCTGGGTCATTTTGTTTTACATTCAGGTTTTCTGATTCTCTTTGTTTTGATGTTGGTGTTTCCGATGGCTTACTTGCTATGGTCTTTCTTCGCTTCTCTTTAGGACTCGGTGTTATAGCGTTCAGACGATTTTTCTGTAAATAAAAAACTGGATTCAGATATTATTTAGTGAGGTTACCGGAGGCCTAATCCTTCCTCTCTCCCAATCCCTTAATCTCCAAATCCCTAACCCCAAAGATCGGGAACGCACTCGTAACCTCTGTCGTTGCGGGTGTCCAGAGGCGGCGCTGATTGCTTACCATCAGGTTATCCTTATGCTTGTTTGCCGACTGATCACATAATCAAAAAGATCTTTATTTTTTTAATCAAGTGTGTGATTAGAAATGTAAAAATTTTGAATATCTTCTTTAAAATAATCTTATTCTGATTGAAAGCAAGTTTTTTAAGAGCAACTGCAGTTGTATTGTTACAAATATTGCCAGACATAAAAAGTTGTTTAAAACTTTTTACTATGTTTCTACCCTAGAATCAGAAGACATGACAAGCCCTTTCTAACACGCGAAGTGTACAAAAGCGTGCAAGTCGTGACCTCACACCGATTAGCTCATCAAACTGGTGTAATAAGTCAATTAGGCATATCATTTCAACGTGAAAACAGCAATTGCATAAATAAACAGGTCCATCACACGTCTATTTAAAGATTCAGCATCGGATTTAAATTTAAAATCGTTGTTAATATAACTCGAATCGGAATACCGATTCATGAGTTAAGTTCGCAACCAGTGGTGACTTTTTGAATGTGATTTATAAGTTCGATATTTGAATAATGAGGTGACATTTCGATTATAATTTTTGCGTAAGTTAGTTTTTGAATCGTTTTTAACGCTTGTTTTAGTTGGATATTCGTTTTAGTGGAAGGTTTTCGTATATTCAGTGGAAGTGGTTTTAAATTCTTTGTGCCCAAAGTTTTTTTTTAAATGAGCACGTTATAAGTAACATGGTATCTTAAGTAAAATGAGAATAGTACAAAATTATATTCAGACAAAGTAAACTTATATTAGCTAAGTGAATTACGATATGGAAGAAGTTGAAATGTGAAAGCTGAAGCCGGTTGGGGATGAAGAACCTTTCTGGGCACCAGACCGCCTTCTGACCTATCTCATATAGCCGAAAACAATAACTAATATTAGTTTATAAAAACCTATTTTTATAGAAACTTTTCCATATTTAAAATTATCTCTTATTTTGTGGATAACGTTGTGGGCTGCATTGTTACATCAAGTTTCGTTTATAATAATAACGACTTATCAAGGAATTAACTGAGAAGCTGTCGACTGGAGGGACTTAACTATGACGTGCACGCTGATAATGAATAAAAGTCTCGTTCTTACTCGAAAGTAGTAGAGCTTTTCGCGGTTAATTCGATTAAATCGTTTACATTCTTAATAAATCTTCTATGTCGCACGTAGATAATAAGTATTAAAAAAAACTATACAACTAATGTCAAAAATCGATTTCAATACAAGATTGTTAGTCTCAATTCAAAGACTTTTTATCATACTGAGGTCGGTGGTTTCCGCTGCAAGCGCAATTATTTACTGCGGCCTCTTAGAGTAGTAGGAAGATGCTCCCACTCTCTCGCCCCACTCAGGACGGGTGATGTCATTGGATGATTAAACTTAACCCTCAAAAAAAGCAAAAGAGCCCTGGATTTCTTCATTTCAGCCGTTTATCAAGACAATTAGATAATCATTGATAAAACTGACTTACCAGAGAAGGACATCGTCTCACAAGCAGTTTGACGTCATCAGCGTTGATTGTTGAACGTTTGGCATGCCTGTGTGAGATTAAAAGTAGCTGACATTTTTTTTATAAAAACTTTGCCCTCACTAGGATTTTCCTCTGTGTCGTGGGTGCGTTTGCAAACATACAAATTCACATACACAACACACCCAGACCCGAAACAACAATTTGAGGATCACACAAAGTGTTGTTCCGTGCGGGAATTTAACCCACGACACGTTGCACAGCATAATCAAGTTCTGACTATAAAATAAATTGTATGAGCTATAACATAATGTTTACCTAAGACCTAGGCGGGCATTTACTTTCTGAAACATCGAAAATGAAATTGATTTTTCATAAACTGTGCATGGTATTATAACTGTGCACAACTTTCGCAGAAACGGAACTGTAAGTATCTCGTCTAAATTGTTTGTAATGTGTAACCTACACAGACAAACTACACTTCATACCTAATTTTGGTCTAGATCGAAACGATATTGGTCACTTTTTTGATCTACTATCTATGGGCGATACCAATGTATTGATAGATAAAATATTTGACTAATTAGCAACAAGAACATAAAAGATGTGGAAAGTAAGAGAAAAATAGACGGTACTAACTTTGCAAAAGCTTCCAAATCGGCACCATAAACTGCCAGTTTCTTATAAACAAGTTCTGCAACAATTTCCACAGCTGGCTTTGTTATCTCCAGACCAAGGAAATGGCAAGTTTCCGTACCAATAGTTCGCACATCCCGATGCAAAGCGGCGCGAATTTTCTAAAAATACAAACTATAGATAAACGCCATCTATGTCATAGCGTTAAAAACTCAGTAACAATATTGTTTTGGTTAGTTAATAAGTGTAGATGTAGATGGCACATAAATGAGAATTAACTTTCAACTGTTTTGCTTATTTTCAACAGTAGAGACAAATAATAAATATTTTTTAATTGAAAGGCCTCGATAAAGCAATCCGATCTTAATAATTTTACTGAAAACTTACTTGTGATGATGACAAACTATCAAAAGACGACATTTTCTTCTTCAATTCTCGCCTCTTATTCTTACTTAAAGCTCCAATCAACACAGACAGACATTATTACTTTTGTCAGTGCCTTAAAGTTAAGGAAGCTAACTAAAACTCATTTTAAACGCATAAATCCTTCTTGATACAATACATAACCTCTGTAATAAAAACAAACGAAAAATTCAAAACAACAAAACTGACAGTTGTCATTAATGTCACTATCGTCAGTTATGTCAAAAACTTTTTTTCGAGTTTTGACGGGTTCAGGCACTGTTCAATCTGTTCAGCCTAAGTATAGTGACTATGATTTTGTAACTACAGTGACTATATTTTTTTAATATGGTCTTTAGCACTTACAATGCAAAATGAATAAATCAAAATAAATTTCTGATTTGAAAAAATATCCTAATGGAGTCAATCAAGTCAAACTAACTAGTCAAGTCAAACGCAGAATTGGAAGTCCAGGTTTCCTCAATGCGTTACGAATTTGCGATAGGAACTGGGAAGCAGTCTCCTCTTTCTGCGATGCAGTGATGCTCGCCCTCCTTCCCCTGGGCGGGAGAAGTCGCTTGATGATTTCCCCGTGATGTTTCCTTCTCCGTATGTCAGTAATCTTAGAAAGGTGCATATAACTCGGAAACAGGCAGTATCAGCCACAATTGCAAATACTGAATAGGTCTTAGATTGTGATCGTTTAAAATAGATTATTGGGTAAAAAATAAAACAATTGATTTTTATATATATTTATATTATGAGCATTCTGTACAACACAAATTAACCCAGTTACTGAAATCAAACATACCTATGTCTAGACTGGTTGGATTGCCAGGAACAATATTTTTATTAATTTATTGAATACAATGTGTTGTTTCTTTCGCACCAAAGCTCAAATCGCTGACGTTGGTCAGAAAGGCGAAAGCCGCAAGCCTCAAGTGGACCTGGGCTGGACATGTTTGCCGCATGTCAGACGAGCGGTGAGCAAAATTTTTACCACAACTAACCAAACATACTTAGCATGGGAGTGAGTGAAAGAATATGCAATACACCTTACATTATAATTAAAAAAAAAAATGCAAAATCTAATTGTAAAGGCAAAACCCAGTCATCGAATAAGGTAATATGATATAAAACCTTTGAATATTATTGTCATAAAAAAACTTTATAGTTTATAAATTAATCAATATTATTATGGAAAAAAAACTTTAGGTTAAGGTGAGCATAACTGTTGGCTTACAAGTAAAATGCAAATTGAGAAAAAGTTACAAAAACTCAATTCAAAGATACAAATTCTTTACAAAGAATTTTCTTTACCAACAATAACAGAATGTATTTTGAGTGTCTGATGAATGGAGATAATGCTAGTGTGAGCTGGACCCCCTCATCTGTGTGTCTTTACCAAAATTTAACGCATTTGTTGTATGGGAGCCCCATGTTTTTTTTTTAAATATTAGTTTCTAAAGCGGGGACAGTAATACATCTGTCCAATATGCAACTGTTTAGCTGTCATGATTCCCGAGACACAGGCACTAAGCATGCAATAACTTAAGAAACTCACTTTGTGGGATAAAATTGTATTTTGAGCATCATATACTGCTCACATTTTACTGTAAATAAAGTTCTTATAACACCATTTACATTACACCGAATATATTATGTACTTTTTAAATTTATCAGACACTCAAAATCCTAGAACATTTATATTTCATTTTCGTTTCGCAAAAATATATATATTTCTATATATCTTTCAGTATATGTTACGTTCTAGACTTTCTTCACGATTTGGACAACGTCTTCGTCGCATAGCACGTGATCGATACCGACTTTCTGTGGCTGATGCTTCACGGATGATCCCCAGACGAGAGCACTGAAAAATAGTAAAAAAACAAATTACATACTGTACAGCAAATTTACTGGAGCCAACATATCATTTAAAAGTACCAATTAGTTAATAATATATTGATTTTAGTTTTGAAAGGAATTTACAGTGCGTTGGCGGTCTCTTTTGGGTTATTAGGGATTTAAAGATAAATAATTTGAGGATAGAGAGAAGGAAATCACATGGCGGTTTTATGGTAGGCCGTGGTATCACTCCAGTCGAGCCGGCCTATTCGTGCCGAAGCATGGCTCAACTCTAACGCTTTTCTAATTTAAACTTATTTAATAATACCCTTATTTCTGCAAAAATACTCAAGTGGTTTGAATTCTTCAACGTGAAAATAACACTGTGCTGAGTATAGACATTTTTAGCATCTAACTGACTTATTTAAAAGTATACAGCCAATCCACCAAATTTTTAAAAAGTTGTGCAATTTAATTAACTGCATCTAAAACATATAACTCGAACTAGAATGAAGATTAATATTAAAAATTGTGTTTACATAACTAGGGGTGAACAAAAAATGCACTATTTACCAGTTTGTCCGTCCATAGCAAGGACAATGGAAATATACCATATAAAAATCTACACACAAATAACCACTTCAACTTACTATTTGAATTCCTTTACAATGGACCTATGGAGTTTGTTACAGAAATCTTCAACACTGGTGCGGTCTGCATGCAGCACTACAGGTGCATTGTAGTCAGGCAACTGTCCTTTAGGTTTAGTGTATATCCTGATGAGCTTCAAGTATTCCCACATCTTCTCCAATAAATCATCAAAGTTCCATTTGTGGTGAGCCGAGATGGGTACACAGTGAGGAATCTTGTAAATTACATCCAATTCTTCTATGCTGATTTGATCTGGGGAAATATATTATTTATGTTAAGATGGTAGGTTCAATTTTGAGTGTTTTAGAAATCTTTGGTGATTAGGTTGAATTTATCACAACAAAACAAAAAATAAAATACTCATAAGAATAATAAATACTCTACTAGTTTCAAGTTACAACAGGAACCTTTTTTTCTTTTTAACCATCGCCTTATCATCATCAGTATCATCATCATCATCATCATCATCATCATCATCATCATAATCAGCCTATAAGTGCCCACTGCTGAGCAAAGGCCTCGTCTCACACGGAGAAGGTTTGAGAAGGTGTGCATGTGGTTAAATTGAGTTTTTGGAATTGGTATTGTGATCCTCTTTTTATTTTTCACCAACGAGGTAATAATAATGGAGGCAAAAAGCACACCCAACAAAAGACCCAATAGGAGAAGGTAGTTGACTAACTTTTAACATTTGAACTAATAAGTATTTTACACTTACCAATCTTATTAAGTAGATAAATACAAGGCATGTACACTCGGTTTCCTTCAATCACGTCAATCAAGTCATCACTGTTAGCATCATATCGGAGAGTAATGTCAGCATTATGAATTTTGTATTCCGATAAAATTGTCTTCACCGTTTCTATGTCCAATTCACTTTGGGGGCACTGAAAAAGAAAATGTTGTTGAACAATTGCTAGTTGCTAACTGAATTTTTGCTATCCATTCTTGCTTGTGCTACATTATAATGTTATAACACAACAACAATGTAATTCAAATAATACTCTGGAAAATTATAATCGGGATGGTTTTTGACTACTTACTGACTGTAAGGATCTAAATCTCAATCTAACTTATTTTGAATTAAGTTTCATTTAACAGCAAACTGATACACTATTCCTCTATATGTATAATTAGTGGGTGTTACAAATGATGTTTAGGATACAATGTAAGCAGCTCAAAGAAGAAGGAATGCAATGAGATTAAAATAAAGGCAGACAATCACTGTCACCTTACCAAGAGCTCAAGAAATATTTGTATGTTTTTACCCCATCAAAAATAAGGGATGAACACCTACAAACAACCTTAAATTTTGTAAGAATAACAAGGGCTTTGAATCTTTGCTTAATCTTGGGATTAAAGGCAGAAGTTGGATATCCTCTAACTATACTACCAAATACAACAAACAAATTATTACCACTTTTTAATGTACTTATGGAAAAGCAATAAAGATATTGAGTATACTATATGCAAGTAGGTTTATGCAAATAATAAATATAATAATATTAGTATATTAAAAAAAAAAAACTTACTGTAGTATTCAAATTAATTCCACCCTTATCTTTTTTCCTAAAGTGTATGTTCGGAGGTTGCTTGTTTAATCTCAGTCCAAAACCTTCCAACTCATGTTCAATCAGTTTCTTGTGCTGCAATGGTTTCAGTACATCCAGTACTATGAATATAAGACTGCAAGTTCTGGCGACGGCGATTACTTGACGACCACGACCCTTACCGTCTTTAGCACCTTCAATAATACCAGGAAGATCGAGCAGCTGAAAATATAATGAGATTATCATTATCATCCTTATATCAGATAAAAGATGCTCAAAATTATATAGGTAAGTATATTTTGGCAGTAAAAGGAAATGAGAATTCAACTTTTTCGTTAAAAAATCAGGTGATTCATAGTTTATAACGAAAATGACACAGCAATATTAATATGGTTAGTAAAAAAATGTCTTCATCACAAAAGCACATCAGCTGATCACAAAAGTATCTATTAATTTGGAAAACAATTTGAGCAAATTAACTGTACTATTAATAACAGCATGCATTGATTTAGACTGTAAAAGATACTTGTGTGAGGTACAAACGAACTAAAGCTTAGGAAGCTCAGATTATTTTATATCTTAATTTTTGAGCTATAAGAATTATCACAAAATGTAAATAGGAAACAATGGAAAGAATTTAAGTATTAAAAATTACAACTTTCATGTGAACTAACAATTCGAGCATTCATGAATAAGAGTTCTGTTAGTTTTGTTGTGGCTCAAAACTACTAGAGCCTTTTACTTAAAGTATTTCTTTTAATATTTTTTTTAGATATAAACTGAGTTGTTACACAAAACTAGCAATATAATAATATGGTACCTGAATCTTCGCACCCTTGTATTTAATACACCCTGGGACTGTTGTAAGGGTTGTGAACTCATAGGCTGCTACTTCGGAGTAGACTCCAGCCAGATTAGACAGCAAAGTAGATTTCCCCACAGATGGAAATCCTACAAACCCGATACGGGCATCACCAGTTTTGGCAACATCGAAACCTGAAATTGGATTTAATAAAAGATGTGAATAGAATTTTAATAATATTCGAAGCTATTTCTATTAAAATTGGATCAGAACAGATGTAGGATAGAAAGCCATCTTTTAATTTTATTAAATGACTTTTTATTCCAATTTCAAATAGGTAGTTGGTTAAATGTTTTTCCATATTTGTAGTAGCTATCTGTATTTTCGATAGCTATGGCAGTAATTGGTTATCATAAAAAACCTCTATAGAATAAAATTTAGTTTTACATTATAAACATACTTAGTTCAGGGCAACTAAAGATATTTGATGTTTATGTTCCTATCGATAGTGTATACTATTAGCATTCTTTAAGCATCAAAATATATTGTAAGTAATAATATTAGGTGTTCAAATGACCTATTGAAATAGTATGTTGTTAAAATTGTTTAAAACAATTTACCTTCGCCTGTTGCACCGCCGCCACCCTTGGGAGTGATGAGTTCTCGTCTCAATTTAGCTAACCGGGCTTTGAGTAGACCCAAATGCAGAGCTGTGGCTTTATTTTTTTGCGTTCGAGCCATCTGTAAACAGATACATTGTTGCAGTGTAACCATTTGCTTCCCACGCCAAAGTAGAATATTATAACTTCAAAAAGAAATATGTATATTTATTACTCTTCAGATAAATTAAAAAATACTTTAATATGCAATATAACCTCTACCTACCTCGGACTCTATAGCCGCAATTTTCTCCAGTATTGTACTCATTTTCGCGGTTTTCTTGTAACTGGCTTGCTAATATCACTGGGAATAAGAAATAAGTTATAACCTAAACTAACTGTTATTACAGTTAATATAAAAATAGAAGGAAGCGTGTCAATTTCTGTTCGTGTACAATTTTCCAGAACACGGCTTTATCATGACAGCTCTTGTCCAACTTGCCATCACTTCAGTCGAGAATTGATAAACTTGCCATATACAAAAGTTATTATTGTTCGCATATTTATTTTAATGATAAAGATTAAAAAATGTATCCATAATGCTATTTGCATATAGGGTAACAAAATTATTTTGTTAAAATAGTTTAATACTGTATGTAGACATTTATGAGCTGCTAGTGCTGTTTATAAGTAATGTTTACACAAACCGCTAGATGGCGTTGAACATTTAAAATAAACTTATCACGTGGAAATGCTTTTCCCGCAGGTTTGCGCAGCGTAACTAAAGGAAAGGAACAGTGGAAAACTGTTTGCTGGGCTGGGTCCGCTGGGTATGTTAGACACAAGCATGCCTCAGTACCACCTTAGGCGTCGGAGGGTAGAGTTCGCTTCGATTGTTTGCCTAACCGACCCAAGTTACGAACGTAATTTTGTTGGAAAAATGTTTTCACCGAGTATTCGTGTTGCTTTAATATTTCAATGTGGTGTTTAGGGATTGTTAGTAGTTCTATTAATGTCGTGTAAATAATAACTTATAAATTTTAAATTAAGATTCTTTCGTGTGATGTTAAGTATTGGTAAAATTTAGTAAATTAGTTTAAAGTATTGGTAAAATGGAATAGTGTATTAAAATGTGTATTTAAATTTTTTGGTAAGTTTTTATTTATTTACTTACGTATTTAAAATTACTTTTTCACTATATTTAAGTGTCATATACCCACTTATTAGGTGCTATTGTATCTTTTTGTGTAGAATTTTTGAGATTTGGGGTAATTTTTTAAATTGATCGTTATGTAGGTAGGTAGAAAGGTGAAATTAAAAGGAGGTGAAGGTAGGTCCTTCACCTCCTTTTAATTCTAGTCATGGTTTTTTTACTCTTTGTTGAGTTTTTAACAATAGTTGATACTTACACTTATTCTACTACTTTATACAACTACTTATAGTGCGATATTGTCGATAGTAATCACTTAGAAAATGAATGTAGAGGGACGGAAATTTGGTAGGTAGCTTAGAATTTTTATCATAATTTTACGATGGTACATCTGTTTTCTGACTTTGTTTAAGGGAATGGGAATGTTCAGTTTTAAAGTGTCAACTAATACTTTTATGTTTGATTTTTAGTAGATTAATAAATAACTTGTGTCGTGTCGACTTAGAAAGACTCTTCGTCAGTTTAAATAACCATAGACCTGACTAAAGAAGTTAGGTATGAATTAAAAATAAAAAGTGGGCTTATTAGCGGCACAGGAACAACGGACTGTTACAGAATATTTTACAACAGTACCTACCAAATCAGTTTATTACATTCGTTACATTAAAAGTCCTTGACTCAAGAGATCAAATGTGTTTCAAATGTAGTACCTACCTAATTTAAAAACTTAGGTAGTCGGCAACACATTTTTGACCTCTGATAATACTAGTATATTCAAGGAGGCTGTAAACTTTGTTTTTTTAACCATCGTATTAAAAAGCTAAAGTTATTAAATGTCATATCCTATCCTGATTTATTTTTCTTTCGTATTACATAGTTACCCTTATCTTGACGTATCTATACAACATGTTAAGTTAGGTACATTTGAACAAAATTGTAAATATGGAATATATAACTGTCGGTTCTTTCTTCTTTCATACTCAAATATGTCTTGCTTTTGATTTTGGAAAGACGAAGGACAGGAACTATCAACGCTTGTGTAGTCAGTGTAGTTCCTGATATCTAAAAGTTATAACTAACCTTCTTAGTGTTTCATATACTAAGTGTCAAATAAAAATTCATAAAAAGAACTCCTAAATTCAAAATACAGAAAAGAAAATGAGAAACCTTTTAGGATTGAATCAGGCATTTGTTTTTATTATATGGATGGCGGTCGTTCGAAACACATCAATGTGTTCTGTGACGGATTTAAAGGCTATGACTTGTAAGACACGATATTGTTACGTGCCTCGTCACGTTCCTGACTATGCGGGCTTGGGTTACGGGATTGGATGAAATGAAACACTAATACCGGTTTTCAGACTTTCTATTGCACTTGAGTTACAGCGTCCACGGAGTTAAGTTATCGGCGTTCCTCTCCAGCAGAGTCCGGCCGACTGACACAACTTTGCCGTTCACGCTGACTTAACTCACTTAACTGACTGCACTTCACTATTTCACTGCACTTCACTATTTCACTCACTTTTCTTCTTTTTCACTTCTTCCTTTTCTTCCGAATCGCTTTAGACTTAGAACTCAACTGCCAGCGGTGAGCCGCAGTTCCGCTTATATACCCCCGGTCAGGTTCTGGAACATTCAATTTCGTTATTCTTTTTGATCGTCATGCCTCCAGAACCTTCCAATAATTTCGTTATTCATTTTTATTTATTCTCCTTCTCGCTCTTTAATTTTTCATTTCTTTCACACAAATAATTCCAGAAAGTTCGACAAAACTTCCATCAACTAAAAAACTTCATGTTTACGGCGGGACTCGAACTCGGGGTCTCAGTGGTGTAATCCACACGCCTTACCAATTACACCAACTCGTGTTGACAATTCACGACGAAATTTACAATCTCTAGGCAACGTTTGACAACCATCCATTGACGTCATGATGTCAAAGAGTTTGAACCACTCTTCCGTCACACTGCCCTCCTCTTAGATTTGCTCGTCCCGAGCATCGTTGCTGCCGTAATACCTCGCCAACCTGTCTATATGGACAACTTTCATAGGGCTCCTTAAAGTCTTCCGAATTCTGTAAGTAATGTCATTGATCTTCGTGACTATCTCATAAGGACCTTCCCAACTCGGTTGCAGCTTCGGAGATTTTCCCTTCCTTCTGACTGGATTATGAAGCCAGACCAATGACCCCTCTTCAAACCCAACAGAATTGGCTCGTCGATCATAGCGCGTCTTTGCGCGATCACTAGCTTGAAGACCGGCCTCCCTGATCTGCTCGTAAATGTCCAACATTTTTGCCCTTAACTCGCTTATGTAATCGCTAAACTCGGTGCAAGTATCGCCAGGTGGACAGCCCGATACAAGATCTGCCGGTAATCTCAATTCCCTTCCAAAATTTGCAAATGCAGGCGTCTTTGCGGTACTTTCATGTACAGCAGTCCGATAGGCAAGCAAGAAGAGAGGTATGTAAGTGTCCCAATCTCTCTGATGGCTGTCAACCACCTTTGCTAAGTGTCGCTCCAATGTTTGGTTGAAACGTTCGACCATTCCATCTGACTGTGGATGATAAGGGGTCGTTCGAGTCTTATGGATTCCCAAAAGTTTACAAGTTTCCTGAAAAACTTGGGATTCAAAGTTCCGTCCTTGATCACTGTGCATCTCCAAGGGCACTCCAAATCGGGTGAATACCTCGTTTACCAACTTCGTGGCTACAGTTACTGCCTCTTGATTCGGTATGGCAAAGACCTCCGGCCATTTTGTAAAATAATCCATAACCACTAAAACGTAGCGATTGCCCGAATCAGTGATTGGAAATGGTCCAGCGATGTCTAAGGCTATTCTCTCCCAAGGCATACCAACATTGTAGATTTTCATCGCCCCTCTGCTTCTTGTTTGTGGACCCTTGACAGCTGCACAATTAGTGCATTTCCGGCACCAATCTTCGACGTCATATTTGCAATGCAACCAATAAAACCTCTCCTTGATCTTCACCAAAGTCCTCCTAATTCCCAAATGTCCTCCAGAAGATCCATCATGGAACGCTTTTAATACATCCCTTATTTTTGAACGAGGCACCACCAATTGCAAATGCTCGCCCTTGCCGTTTGTTGATTCCCATTTCCTGCACAGAAGTCCATTATGCAGCGTAAGGCTTTTCCACTGTGCCCATAAACCTTTCGTTACCGCGCTATATTGGGCGACGTCACTCCAACTTGGCTTGTTACCACTTCGTAGCCACTCCAGTATTGGTTTAATATCTGCATCTCTTTCCTGTTCTAATTTCATCGCATCATCTCCCCATGCCTCGTCAACAGTATCAGTCCTTATCACCTTAAGAAAAGCAGTTTCCTTCTTGGCACAATGCTTGCAATCTTCCACGCATGGGCGTCTCGATAATGCATCTGCGTTGCCATGAATTCTTCCTCCGCGATGTTCGATTTCAAAGTCAAATTCCTGAAGTTGTTCCAACCATCTGGCTACTTGGCCTTCGGGATCCTTAAACTGAAGCAGCCATTTCAAAGCAGCGTGATCTGTTCTGATCAAAAATTTCCGTCCCAGTAAATACTTCTTGAAATGGTGCAGAGTTTTGACTACGGCCAGCAATTCCCTCCTGGTCACGCAATAATTCCTCTCCGGCTTGGATAGTGACTTGCTGAAGTAAGCAATAACCTTCTCCTGCTCACCTTCGCGTTGTGAAAGGACACCTCCTATTCCAATATTGCTGGCATCGGTATCTACTACGAATATTCCTTTCGCGCTGGGGTATCCGAGAATTGGTGTGTTACAAAGCCCTTCTTTTAGTTCTCGAAAGGCTTGCTCACAATCCTCGTCCCAGATAAAGGCACGTTTCTCCTCTGTCAATCGATGCAAAGGCTTGGCAATGTCCGAGAATCCTTTCACAAACCGCCGATAATACGAGCACAATCCAAAAAACGCTCGAACTTGCGTTTTGTCTTTAGGTGTTGGCCATTCCTTAACAGCGACAGTCTTGGCTGGATCAGTCTCAATTCCTCTCTCAGAAATAACATGTCCTAGATAATTCACTTCGCGCTTGAAGAAAGAGCATTTCTTTGGACTCAACTTTAAATTTGCTCCACGCAGCTTGTCGAGTACCTTTTCCAATTTCCTTAGATGATCGTCAAAATCCCGTCCAACAATGATGATGTCATCGAGGTAAACTAGGCAGGTTTCGCCCAGCAGTCCCGCCAGCACCTGTTCCATCAAACGCTCAAAGGTTGCCGGTGCATTGCATAATCCAAATGGCATCACCTTAAATTGCCAGAGTCCCTTCCCAGTTGAGAATGCGGTCTTTTCCTTGTCCTTGGGATCCAAATCCACTTGCCAATAGCCGCTTTTCAGA